TTTTCCCTGAATTTGCAGGTTTTATTTAAATTGCTATTTACGGTGGCACCCCCAGTAAAAAACAACCCCGCCCACCAAGATTTGGTTTTGCCCCCCCCCCCCCTCTCTCTGAAAAAACTGAAATGACGCCACTGATAGCGACTACAAGCGACTTACACACTCGCACTATGAAAGTCAATGAACTTTCAGTTATTATCAACCAGATGTTGGCCATGAATGAAACAAATAAAAAGTCAAGGGGATGAAAAAAAAATGTTTGTGAAGTTTTCGTTAAATTTGTAAGACTTAAAACGTAATAAAAGAAAACAATTGATTAAAAAATCACTCATTCCAAATTGTCTTAATCTATTGTTTCAGTCGGTGACCCCCACAGCCCACAGATTCCCATTTGAGATCACTTCCCCATATCATACATGGGCTGAAAACATGTGCTCTAGTAACTTAATTATCCGAAAACTTTTAAATTACTTGTCAAACTTCGAATGTAATATTTAGACAAGATTTTGTAGTGTTTTTCTTCCCAAATTAACATAGTAAGATAGATAAAAATAAGTCTACATTGGGGGTCGTCCCTTCATTACGCCAACAATTTTCCCGCACTTTTTGACCCCCTCCCTCCCCCCTTGTCAATAACTGTCAAACTTTCGATGTCCCCCCCCCCCTTTATTTAATTATGTCAACATTTTATACCCCCCACCCCCTAAAAAATGAATTATAATATCAATCTATTTATACATACGTTTTACTTTGTGCTCATGTATTTTAATAACACAAAAATTGTCGGAAAAAAACATTTTATTACATCTTTAGCTTTTAATCAACAAGTTAAAAAGTTTTTACACTTAAATTTTATAATGCAGAATCAATTTAAAAGTTAGTTAAAGACTAAATATAATTGTTTGTGGAAGTATAAATATGATTATTTTCAGTATAGCTGACAATTATAGTATAGGTTCTAGCTGCTCTTATTTTCCCATGGAGTAGCCAGGTGTTGCTCTATCGTAACAATGGGCACCAGGGACATCATTTGGGTGGGTGTATGGGGGCATCCCCCCCCCCTTTTTTTTTCGATTTTGCTGGTTTTATTTAAATTGTTATGTACTGTCGCGCCTTCAGTATAAAACAACATAAAAAGCCGACCAAGTTTTGGTTGTGACCCCCCTCCCTTCGCCTGAAAAAAAATCATGAAATGACGCCCCTGATGGGCATAGTCAACAGTAGCTGATTTATCATTTTCATCTTGCGGAACTGATATACCAGTTTTTTTAATTGAACACCATGTACAATGATGTGCTAATCATTCTAGAGAGCTGATTAAGAGAAAAATGACAGGTGAAGAGATGCCAACTTTTGACTTCTCTTGCACTAACAAAGTGTGCTAACATTCTGATCAGCCATCTGCAGTGCACAGACACATTAAATAACTCTTATATTGTTAAAAACCTAAACATATATGACTATTTACACTAATTAAATTGTTTAAAATCATGTAAGAACCAGTCAGTTTTTAAGATTAAAATTTTAATAGAAAAAACATGATTGTTGACGTCAACTAATCTACCCCCCCCCCCTTTTTGTCAACAACTGTCA